AGGCAGGATTGCTTGAGGCCAGGAGTTCAAGACCAGCTGGGGCAACATAGTGAGGCCTTGTCTCTATTAAAAAAAAATTAAAAACAAAAGAAAAAAAAGATATTCTGGATAGAACAAGTATGCCAAAAAGCTCTTCACCATGCTCTGGCACTAATGGAGCCATGCAGGGCAGAGATGAGCAAAGCCAAGATGGATGAGAGAGTAGTTGTGCCTGCCACTGGGATCTTTTACATTTGGATTTAGAGTAACAGGCTTCAAAGTACCTGCATGCACATATTCACATGCTGGGGATGCCATAAATAAGTACCACAAACTAGGTGGCTTAAACAACAGATACTGATTTTCTTGCAGTTCTAGAGGCTAGGAGTCTGAGAGGCTAGGCACCTGTCGGTGCCTCCCAAGGGCCATGAGGAATCTGTTACAGGTTTCTCCCAGCTTGTGGTAGTGTGCTGGCCATTCTGGTGTTCCTTGGCTGCAGAAGCACCACTCTGACATCTGCCTTCTTCGTCACGTGACATTCTCCCACATCAGCATGTGTGTCCACATTTCTTCTTTACATAAAGACATCAGTCGTACTGCATTAGGGTACACCCAAACAACCTAATTTTTACTTGACTGTCTTTGCAAGGCTCTTGTCTCCAAAGATCATATTCAGAGGTGCTGAAGGTTAGGACTGAAATACAGCTTTTTGGGGAAACACGATGCAACCCATAAAATGCTCTACTCATCCACATCCCACAGTGAGCCTCTCCAGGGCGAATCCCAATTCCTGTCCTAAATACCAAAAACCCTCAGCTGTTATTATGCTCCAAGCCTTCTCACCCTCCCACTGTGCTCTTTCCTCCTCTTTGCCTGGCAAATTTCTACCCAGTTTTCATTTCTTACCTGAAATACTACTTCCTAAGAGAGCCCATCCCCATCACCTCTCTTGACTGTATTTCCCATGTTACTTATTCTCTCATGGTTCATAAGTATATTCCATGTTACTTATTCTCTCATGGTTCATAAGTATACATTTATTGTGTGACTAATTAGTGGGGGCAACAACTTTAACCCCTAACCTGTAAGTACAGTGAGAGAAGGAAGCCACCTACCCAACATTGTCTTCCGAGTTTCGTAGTGCATGATCCAGACTGGACACTTCAAAAATATTTGTTGAGAGAATAAATGAATGAATGAATGATGCATTCTGGGTCTTCTATACTACCTCAAATAGTGTGGGATTAGTGGTGGTTGAGTGAGTTATTTCTGTGTCTTTCAAGAGAGTGAACTCCTTGAGGGTATGACAGGTCTCATTCTTTGAATCTCTGGCAATCAATCTCTTCTCCCTGATGCTCTATGTGGTAGCTATCTATGCTGCATATTCAATTACCTTGAAATTTAGAAGCTTGAACTATATAATTTCTTATTTCACAATTTCTGTAGATCAGAAATTCAAGTGACTTTGCTGGGTTGAATTTAAGATTTCATTTTCTGGTGTTCTTCCCAGGAGAAAAAAAAGACTTCATGAGGTTCTATTTAAGATTTTGTACTTGGAAGACTGAGGCAGAAGGATTGCCGCGGCCCGGCAGGAGGACGCTGAGGTAGTTGAGTGTGTCACTGCACTCCAGGCTGGGCGACAGAGTGAGACTCCAACTCAAAAAAAAAAAGATTTTGGCAGGCCATGGTCACCTGAAGGCTCGACCAGGCCTGGAAGACCCACTCTCCAGGTGGCTCGCACACGGGGCCTAGTGACTACCCATGTGAGCCCCTCCACGGGGGTGCCTGGGTGTCCCCAAAACATGGACTCCCGCAGTGATTAAGAGAGCAAAGAGGAGGCTGCAGTGCCTTTTCTGGCTTTATCATGGAACTCGGCCTCTATGGTTTCCAGCGTCCCATCGTTATACTGGTCGGCTCCAGTCACTGTGGGAGGGGGCTGCGCTAGAGCAGGGTACCAGGAGAGAATGGCTGGGGCCCACGGTGGAGGCTGGCCGCCACACGCCGTACCGGGCCTTGCCTCGCCCATTCCCCATCTGGGAACTCTGCTTTGCCTTCCGATTACCTATCACGCTACAGGATCCCCCGCTCATTTACCTGTCGTCTGCCTCCCTCCCACAGACCGTGAGCTCACCGGGCAGGGCCTGCACTGGTCTGCTCAGCGCTGAGCACCGGGCACGGAGGGGGTGCCGGGCACGCCTCCTGAAGGAATTGGGACGATTGCGCTGGCTGGCTCCCTATGCCTGGCGGCTTCTGCCGGGGCATGGCACAGAGGACGGCTTCCGGAAGCGTTTGCCGAAGTGGGCCGGGTGACACAGGGGCCTGGAGAAACGACACGCTCTAAACTTGCTTCCCGGGACCGCTCCGTCCGGCGCAGACACGCGACCCAGACACATAAGACAGACACACCCCAGCCGCGCGGGCCGAGCCGAG